TTTGACATCTCTGACTGAATTCCTATATTCAGAATACAAGAAAGAAATTTTACCAGCCAGTCATGGTGGCTCACGCCTATAATCTCAGCACTTTAGGAGGCCAAGGCAGGCAGATTACGAGGTCAGAAGTTCAAGACCAGCCTGGCCAACATGGTGAAACCCTGTCTCTGCTAAAAATACAAAAACTAGCTAACGTGGTGGTGGGTGCCTATAATCCCAGCTACTTGGGAGGCTGACACAGGAGAATCGCTTGAACCAGGCAGGTGGAGGTTGCGGTCAGCCAAGATCGGCCAATGAGCTCCATAATCTTTTATTATGCAAATGAAGCTACTACCTGGCTGTCACCATAACATCTGCACAAGTGGCTTTACCTGGCTGGCGCAATGATGCCATGACACCCTCACATGTGCTGACAAGGAAAAGGGAACGGGTATTCTCATGTTCAATGTGCCTGGCTTCCAGGTACAGCTGTTAGTTTTACATATGCAAGCCTCTAGCTTGCGTATCTATGGTTGCAACTTGAGTTTTCAGGCTGCTTTCTGTTAGAAAAGATGCTTTGGGGGCTGCTTTTTATTAAAGAATAAAAACACTAAGAACTATTTTACCCTTTCTAACTGCCTAAAATAAATTTTTAATGACTCCTGTGTTAATATTACCAACTCTTGATTCCTCCAACCTTTAAACAAAGCTGGCAGATCATTAACAGAGATAAAAAGTTAAAAAGTTGGAGTCCTTTAAAACACAAGCCATGATATTTTATTTCTACTCATTGTGTAGATTGTCACTAATGTGCTTTTGCAACAACTTTTGCATGGGTTACTCAATAGTTGCTACAAGACAAAATGCCTTACAATTAGAAAAGAAACATTAACCAGACCTATTGTACAAATATTTATTTTTTGACAAATGGCCATTCTATGGACAGTTTTGAATAAGCCATATAAAGTATTGTATATCCCTGATGAGGCTTAATGGACTGTTATTTCAGGTGTTGGCGGTGTCTGTGTCTAAAAGAAAAAACAAATAACATCACAATAAGCAGATTTAATGCCTCTGTTTTCAACCTAATGGAACAATCATTTCAATTAAGGCCCTTCTGCAAGTTTATGTGGATCTTTGCTTTGTAAAAACACAAACAAAACACAAGGGGAAATTCTCATTTTCTAGCAAATATGGTAACTTCTAATATGCTGAGTTTCTAATAATGAATTGCCATCAAATAAGTAATAAATAATTTCTTTGGAAACAAAAGCTTTCTATTTTTTTTATTGATTGACAGATATTTACTAGTTTAAGGATATTGGTCATAAGTATCTATATAATAAAGCCTTTATATTAGATGCTAGATTGAAATTTTTGATAGCATGAATAGATTTTTAACTGACCATTCTAAAACATCAGTTTTTGTGAATATTCTGTATGTTTGTATATGTATATATATGTGTCTATATATTTTTTGATACTTTGAACTGGAAGAAAGAAATATCAAGAGTTTCTACTCACAACATAAAGAAAATTAAATGTTTTGGGATATTTTAAAGTCTTTCAGGTGTATAGCTTTGTCTGCATCTGGCCTGCTGCACAAAAGTATCTCAAATGAACTTTCACTGTGGATACCATTTTCCAGCTTGAAGGAGTAATCAAATTCTCAATTATCAGGGTGCTTGTTACCATACCAGTCAGTTTAAGATTACACATACGTCTTCTCCCTCGAACAAGTACCCCAAATTTGCTAGTTTTATAAGTATTAGCTACAATAAGATAAGCCAAAGATTAAGTAAGTGAATTTTTTAAAGGATCGCCTGAAAACATTTGCTAAAGGGAGAATAAAAATAGAAGCTTGGAGTATAAAGGATGTTGGAATTAAACATTTTTAAGTACTTTTTTTCTGCATCTGATCAACTGAAGTTATTATAAAGAAGGAATCAAGTATGTAACTTTATATTTCTAGATAAAAATCCAAATTACTTTCTAAATTCATTTCCAAAATTCTCCTGTGCTGGCAGTTAGCTACTAGAAATCATCATTTGATTTTGTAGTTTGCCATGTTTTGAGTGAGTTCAGCTGCTTATTACTACCCATGTCATTGTGTTTGTGTTGATGGCCTGGCTCGGTTATTTTATGATCTCCGTGAACTATATACACATTTTCATTGTCTTTAAACAATACTGTGTTTTGAAGCTAAGGAGAATATTGTAGGAGTTATCAGTAACCCATTCATTGTGTTATGTTTCTGTCCGATATTTCAGTATTGGCAAATATAATTTTTGACATTGCATTTTACAATCCTCTTATTTTTTTAGAGTGATGAAAGTTCAAGTTTTAAGAGAAGTGGTTGCCTTTCTCATATTGTCAAACATATTTCTTCTTTTTTATACTCTGATGCTTCATCCTTCTCCATAATTTTCTATTGCTACTTATTTAAAAGTTTCCCCATCACACTGAAAAACTTAAATGTCGATTGTCCATTTGAAAATGTGCCAAAAGTACTATTCCATGTAAATATGCAGAAACAATTACTATAAAGATGTCAGCATAGTTTAAATGTATTACTTTGATGATTACAGAGATTTTTTTCAAGTTGTTCGTGTTAAGATGTAGCTTAAACAGTATCTCAGTTCCTTAAAAAATAATAGAAATTTTTCATGTATATTACATATCTACCTACCAGAAATCCTTTTTACGATTTTATATACAATCATTTTAAGACCTTTTTGAAATAAATAACACAAAATAATTAAAATAAAGTATTCCCTTGATTTCTGAAGAGGCATTTATTAATTGTCTTAGTAGCTGCTGATATACAAGAATTCTTCCTAAACTTTAAAAGGCAGCTAAACAAAATAAAGTCTAGAAATCAGAAATAAAGACACAAACTTTTATTGAGAGTAAGTCAGACACAGCAGTTCTTTATTTAAATTGTAGATAGGTAAGTAAAGGGAGAGAAAGAGATACTGGAAAATTCTGTGACTTCAAACGTAGCATTATATAAAAGATAGATTTTATATTGGAAGAGAAATAGAGCTATTATTAGTTTCTGTTCATATAGCAACAAAGGAAAACAAAAAGTCATATAAGAAATACCAGCATTTGCACAATAAATTAATTCTCCCTCTTCCCTGGTACCAGAGTCCTTACGACCCCTGAACTTTGAATCACAAAAGCTCCAGTAAACCCTCATGTGTAGCTACCAGGTTGTGTTCTTAATCGTGTTCCAACTGTGTTTCAAAAGTGTTAAATATCCCCCATGCAATCTGAATCAGACCCTTGTCTTTCCTAGGTTACAAAGACTCAAATAGCCAACCGTCATCATTATGTTACCTGAGATCACTTAACTCCGTGGCGTTCACGTAAGACGTATAGGCCCATGGACACCGATGCCAAAGAATAGTGTCAGGGCTATTTTGCAGAAACACTGCATCATCCATCAACATGAAGCATTTACTAACTAAACATACTCTAAAATAGTTTCTGTTGACTGAAATCTTTCATAGGTCATTCATTGTCTGGTAAGAGCACAAAGCTAAGAGGACCGTGTTAGCATGTACCGGAGTCCCATTAGAGCTACTTGCTTTGCCATGCCACATAGCCATAGCTCTCCCATCTCTAGTCCTACAGGAATCCATCATTTCTGTTGGAATAACTCAAAATACAGGGCCTTGATGGTAGGTTAGAAACATGGTCCTGTTTTGTGCTAGATAACACAATACTGTGTTTTGAAGTTAAGTGGAAAATTGTAGGCGTTGCCAGTAACCCAGAAAAGAAAACAGGTTGTCCGGGCAGAAAAATTAGAGGATCTAAATTAAACTGGAAATTGTCCTATTGCCTCATCTTCTCCCTAACTTTATCAATAAAAACCTGATTTCCCTCACTGCATTCTGGAAACTGACATTGTAACAAATGAAATCTATAGGTTGTATAGAATGCGGGTAAAATAACTTTTATATGGTATCTGTTGGAAAGAATAAAAGGAGCACTGCAATCCTGAATTCAAATTTGAGTTTTGTAAACAACTAAATAATAGTATGTGATACTGTGGAAATATATTATGTAACCAGAAGAATTAAAGAACTTGTCATTAGAACATGTGGGATTTATGTTACACATAAAAAAGCAGTCATCTAAGAGGACTAACCCAGAGTTTTTCACAAAATGAAAAAGAAATAAACAAAGGGTTGAATAGTACAATGAAGACTGTATTACATTCAGACAATAAGGAATTGTCTTTTTATTTGCAGAGCAAAATAAAAATCTTTATCTGTGGTGATAGAAAGTTCAGGGTAATATATATGGAAGCATGCAGTGAAAAATTGTGGAAGCAACTATCTAAGAATATAAATATAGTCTCTCTTTTCATAAATATTCAATACGTTATTTGACACATTGGTTTGAGTGAAGCTCCACAAGTACAATTTTAAGCATCTTGATTTGGGCTGAGGTCCAGTAAATTATATATTCCCAACAACTATCAGAGCTCTCTCACTAAAAATACATGCTCACGCTCTACTTTGAAAATATTCTAAGATAATTATTTCCATTTTCATAGTAACTAGTACAGTTATGACTAGCGTTGTCTCAGGTTTCTAAGGAAAGAAAATTATTCTGAGATACTGTTAATAAGAGAAAATGTGGTAATAGAGAGGGGCATTTTCTTAAAATTGTGCTAAAGCTGTCATTTTTATTTTTAATGACTTTAACTGTGCTAGACAGGATTTTATTTTCAGCTACTGAAATAAAACTATCCAACATAACTCTTTAGTCTGCTGCCCACCAATCTTCTAGCCCCTCCCATGTTAACCTCACAATGGGTTTAATTCAGTTTGAAAGCATAAAGGCAACATTTAGCAAACAGAATTCTCCTGACTGACAATTGCTCATCCCCCTCTGTGAGAAGATTCAGTGAATGGTAACACCTAGGAAGGAGGCTGATAGAATTTTCTCTCTGTAGATGTCAAGGAAAGTCACTTGAAATCTTGTTTGATGATAATAGAAAAGGCAAAGAATTTTGGAAGGTTTATTTGCCAGAGTCCGTAAAACCATGTTTAAATGTACGAGAGCTTTTAATATCAGACTTTCCATCACTCCGATGTATAAGAAAAAAGATACGGAAAGAAATATAAGAATCATTTCAAATAGTCCCCTCAAATAGTCTCATTTGATGACTACCTTTCCAAGCATTGCTACATTTATAGCCAAATTATGCCATATTCCCCCAGGGGACTGACTGCTTAGTGCTTATCACATAGTGCTATATTAGTGACGTTTTAAAAGACAAATGCCCAAGAATGAATCTAAAGCTTTTTGATTTGAGGCTATCAGACTGAATTTTATCTAGGGTTATTTCCACATTATTCTACAGTGAAAAAGAAAGTCAACTTCCACCTCTTTTCAGGTGATAACTCAAATAAGGCATAGAAATATGCACACTGGGACAATAGAATTAGCTTTTCCTTTAGTGTGCGTGAGATTTTCTCAGTTCCAGTTAGTTTATAAATGCATCATAGACTCGAATTCATCAATTCTTTGCTTGGTATTTCCCTTTCTGATTTTCCGATAGGATATTGTATTGTATCTGGAATAAGCATTTCTGGAGATATCACTCTTCTTTCCTAAGTTTGGCTGCTCATCAGGGGTCACAGCTTGGGAACTGGCACTGCTCAGTGGGGAGTCCTCACTTGCATCACCTTCCTCTTTAAATTGAGAAATTTCTTCATGTTTTTTCTTATATTCTATCACTCGAACTTCATCTTCATCATCATCATAATTATCATTATCATCATCATTATTAATTTCTTCATCCCAAGCCTTCTGCTCCTCATCATGTTTAGAATGTAACATGTCAGCTTGGCTAGGTTTTCGAAATCCCAGCCATTCAATTTCAGCTGCTTGATGAGCTTTGTTCTTCCTGTCCTCATCTTGTTCCTTTTTGAGAGGTTGTTCAGCAATCCTTTCCTTCTGTCTTCTTATTTCCTGGTTACTGCCACTCAGAGGAATCCTCTCCCACTGATACCCTGTAGCAAAATCAATTGGTAGATGAGATATGTAGAGGTTCCAAAATACCCAGTTATTACTCCGCTATTCTCCAAATAATTTTTTTTAATAATTATTTCCCAACACTTGTTTTATGGGTTGTGATTCTGCGGGTTACCAATATGTTTTGCACAAACAGACTACACAGCCAAATTAATTTTGAAAATACTAGATTAAATACAGTTAAATAAGCATCTTCAGAATTCTTTTTTTTTTTTTTTTCTTTTTTTTTTGAGACGGAGTTTCACTCATGTTACCCAGGCTGGAGTGCAATGGCACGATCTCGGCTCACCGCAACCTCCGTCTCCTGGGTTCAGGCAATTCTCCTGCCTCAGCCTCCTGAGTAGCTGGGATTACAGGCATGCACCACCATGCCCAGCTAATTTTTTGTATTTTTAGTAGAGACGGGGTTTCACCATGATGACCAGGATGGTCTCGATCTCTTGACCTCGTGATCCACCCGCCTCGGCCTCCCAAAGTGCTGGGATTACAGGCTTGAGCCACCGCGCCCGGCCCCGCATCTTCAGAATTCTTACACGCCTTTGAAATGCAAATGAGTATTATGAATCTGTAAGAAAGTCAGCAACGTAACTTCATTTGTCTATGGAACTCTGTTGTGGACTACCATATTTAGTGAGACTGATATTCCCTGAGATACTTTAAAACATTCTCATCTAGTGTGACGCAGCTGGATATGTTCACATGTAAAATGAAACATTTGGACATCTCTCTCTCGCACATGCACACACACACACACACACACCCCTCAAAGAAAATTAGAAAAAATATTTCAGGAAGAAAAAAATCATCATTTCGAAAACTGAAATGATAACTGTGCGTGTCTGGTCACTTTTCATACAGCTAGATCATACCAGCATATCCTCAACGATATTTATTGAACATGATAAGGATTAATTGTAAGGAAGCTGAGGTTGTTCTCTGAGCCTTCATCCCTGCAAGACTTCTGTGGGAAGTTTCCGTCTGTGGTATACACGACTCAGAAATCTGTCTGGGTTACACCCCTTTTCAGGCCTGAGTTCAGCATTTTCTTTTGACACCATGAGAGTCTACAAGGAGAGAGGCAATGTTCCTTTTTGTCTTTTTCCTCCACAATACTCTACCCTCTCTGAGAGATGCTCACAAGTCCATTTTCATCCAAGGTGTTTCGTTCTCTTTTTATTTGTTGTTCTTTTCTCACTCTAGGGAATAGATTGCAAATTTACAGAGCTAGAAGTAAAGATGGGTGGACGCCCTAATTTTTTTATACACAGCTGCTATCAGGTCACTATGTCCCCTCAATGTTGCTACCATTATCCACAAATACACATTAGAATGTTTGCTATAATCTTATGCTTTGCTTTGTTTTATTTTGTTTTCCACAAGAACCAACGTGGTATTTTGTTTATATTCATGACTCAGGCATGAGATTGTCACATATAAAATTACTCTTTGAATTTAAATTATAGTTTTTCCTCAATATTTTTAGCATCTTTATATGTTTTAATCCAGTAACATTCTTTTTGAAGATTTTATAGCTGTTTGCCACTGTGAAAATAAAAGACACCAAAATCTGTGTTTCTGTTATAGAGGAAAAGCATACTCCATCAAACAGCAAAGAATTCATTGAGGGAAAACTTAACTAGTGAGACCATCTAGCTAAAAACTACAGACTGCTTTCACTCTCCATCTGATGAAAATAAAAGATCCTTGAATACTGTTATCCACAGTGGACTCCTGATCAAACATTTAAAAGGGTCTCTACATAATAGAAGGTTGAGATCTTGCTGCTGAGAGCTTGTTATATTGGAAGCAGAAAAATTAGGGCAAAGAGGTTATTTAGTTCATAACGTGGAGTCTTAAGTCTTACAACTTATCTCTGGTAATGTAACAGCTTGACACTGGCTACTGCTTGCTACATATTACCTTAAGTGTTGATACATTCGTAAGCAGACACGGTATGAGAGGTGTTCAAGCAAAGGGAGCAGATGTAGGAAATAGCCAATCACATTCCTGTCCTTGAAATCTACTATTTTATGCAACGTTCTAGTATTTCAGCCAAGAGTCTCCAATATTTTGCCTGTTAAAGTCCTAGCAAAGCTAAATTGGTTAGGTTTAGCAAGCTGACTTCAATTTTGAGATAAGATGTGTATGTCTGCAAGAGAGGAAAGAAATGATTAATTAATAGATTTTATCCTACACGCTATTTGGAAACTGTTTAAATATAGATGTCTTCTTGGAAGAAAAATCTAAAGAATTTTGTGTCTTAGTCTATTAAGTTTATTTAAAATTTAATATAGTCACTTCAATATTCCTTTTATTCTTTCACTTTCTTAAAGAACACAATTAAAATTAACTTTATCACCCTGTCTTTCTTTGACATGAAACAGTTAACCATTTTGTACTTACTTTAGAAGCCTATAAAGTAAATCACTTTATGAGATTACTTTAAACTGTGTGTTGGCCGGGCACGGTGGCTCATGCCTGTAATCACAGCTCTTTGGGAGGCCGAGGAGGGTGGATCAACTGAGGTCAGGAGTTTGAGACCAACCTGGCCAATATGGTGAAACACCATCCCCAATAAAATTACAGAAAAGTTAGTTGAGTATGGTGGTGGGCACCTATAATCCCAGTTACTCAGTAGGCTGAGGCAGGAGAATTGCTTGAACCCGGGAGGCTGAGGTTGCAGTGAGCTGAGTTAGCGCCATTGCACCCCAGCCTGGGAAACAAGAGTGAAACTCCATCTCCAAAAAAAAACTATATGTTAATCGTAGACTTTTAGAAAAGAACTATTTTTGAAACATTTACATTTCACAAGGTGCACACACAGATTTGGACACACCAAATCAAAAAGAAGGTTGACTTAGTGGACTAACATTCAGAGACAGATATCACGCTGGTATGCCAATTAGCTATGCCAATCCATGCAGCCTCAACCTTGAACAGTCTGGAATGTTTTATAAGGTGGAACCCAGAGATAAGTTAAGACTCTCTTATCTGCCTACAGCAGCTTTGAAAATTTGAAGTCATTGCCTGGATTGCTTTGTCAATGCTACACTCATGCAACATTTCATGGGAAAACTATCATCCACATTCAGCCAAACAATTTCTGTGTACAAAACTGTAGTTCTTGTTACCTTCTCTGAATGTCATTTCATCGGCACTTGCTTCTTGGAGAGAAAGATCTGTGATAGCCTTATGAACAATAAAGAGTTTCTTTTCTGGATTTTCTGGAAAAAACCCACAAAACCAATATTTTAACATTTGAAATATATATTGTTCAACAGTTAAGAAGTTATCAATTTAAGCTCCAGGTGGATTTCTTTAATTTTAAATCTGATCACTGAAAATTACCGTTTGACTCTTCAGATTCATTCATTATTGATTCAATTTATTTGCTTAATAATCACTTCATTGATTATCTCTCCTTTAATATATATATAAGATATATATATAAAATATCGCACCATAAATTCAGACAACTTCAGGTATATTTAGAAGGAAATTTTAAAATGTTGAATTCTCTTTGTTCAAATAATAGTGGGGCTACCCATAATCCTGATAAATAACGGTAGTCAACATTTAGCCAGTGCTTACTTGGTATGTGTAGGTATTATTATTATCATTATTCTGCCTTCTTCTAGTGAAAAAACTCAGGCTTTGGGAGACAGAAAGTTATCTGGAGTCATGGAGCTGTCAGACAAGCCTGGATTTCACCAGAGACAGAGGTTTAGTCCTTATGCTATGCGCAGTAGAATAAAGGGCTACATTTTTGGGGTCTCCAGCTCATTCCTGTAACAGTTTATCGAACAAAAAAATCCAGGGTAAGTTTATAAGTCAAAACAAGAAAATTAAGGAGAAGGGAAAAACTTTACCTTTCAGAATTTTCTCCTCCATGGATGAGTTGAGCAGTATGTTCCCTTGTAATTTTCCTCTTTCCTCCTGATTTCCTTCAGTGGGTGCAACTTCGAGACTGGGTTCTACCCTGTAGTGTGGCAGGGGGCTGTCCACATCAGTCAATTTTTCACAGGTTTTAGTGATTGATTGTTGACCATTTTCAGGTGCTTTATCCCCATTACACTCAGCCTGGGTAAATGTAGCTGGAACATCTGTCATGATGTGCAGTTGAATCCGATCTAGAGAGAGAGCTTTAGGGAAACTGAGTGAGTAGATCCCTGATAATATACCTGCTCTTGCCTTCAAGTCCTCTGGTTCCAACAGCTACTCTAAGAGCACAAATTATTCACTTGGGTACGTAATAACAAGATTCTTTTCCTAAAGGTATCCAGACAGAGCTTAGAGCAAAAAAGCAGGAGGATTTGTCATATTTGTCAGGAGCCATGAGCAAGAGTCCAGCCAATCACCACCTTCTTTGTTGCTTGCCAGCCCCCTTGCAGAGTTAAAGGCACCCTTTTGATTTACATAAACAAACAATCTGAAGCAATCAGGCTTTTGTGTTGGCATGTAGAGAGGGACTTTCAGCTTGTCAGTCCCCCTCTGGGAACAGAGATTTTTGTCCCTTTTCATAATGGCCCATTGTAATTTTCCCTGTAACAGGAGCCACAATTGTCCCACAGCTTTAATCCAGAGAGAATGACCACCTTGAGGCATATTAGTTCTGTGTAACCAGCTTAACATTTCCAAACAGATTTTGTTCAAGTAAAACCTCAGCTATTTTGTTAAGGACAATGGCATCGTTTCTTATTTATTACAAAATAAAAACAGCTTATCAAAAACCTATAAACAGGACAACTATACTGTCAATGGTTCTGGCTGCAGATTACATGGCGTGCTTTCAGCAAGCTGGAGAAGGGGCCTATGGGGAAAACAAATTCTACCAACTCACTAATGCCAAAAGTTTTACAATTTCAGAGTAATTTACTTAATCTATAGTTTCTTATCCTCTAGTTTATGTCCACTGAAGCCCAACCAATCCTTTCAAACCCTAATAAAATTATCACCATGAAGTTTTCTCCTCCCCCAATCAGAATTAGAAACCTCTCTATTCCATACTGATATTACATGATGCTAAAATGTAGGGGACCAGTGCAACCTCTCCTTGGGAGAAACGGGTTAAATATTAAATACATGCTACTGACCAGCCCTTCCTTTTTAATTCTTTCTCTTTTTTGGATCTCTCATAGTACAAAATGGCTCCAGAGTCTTTGCCCACACAGCTCCTGTGTGAAATGCCCTTCTCCTCCTCAAGCCCAAGTCTTTGACCTAACCAGCTCCGTCTTTAAGCTTAAATATCATCTCTTTAATGACACCACAAAATTAGGGCAGGACTCTGTTACACATTGTCTTTGCCCCTCAGAGTAGTCTTCATGGTTGTAACTAAATAAGCAACTGCACAATTATCTCTGTAATGTTTGTTTCACCAACAACAATCTAAGCTTTATCTGGCCAGGGGCCATTTTAACTTCCTTACATGTGTCCCTAGCACTTAGCATCTGGCTTGAAATAGTAGCATGCAATAAAAATAATTTTATATATTTATATATATACACACACATATATGTAGATATATATATTATATATATGTATATTATATATATAAAATGAATAAATTTTATCCCCAAGAGGATACATTTCAGATCATTTTTAAAGGCACGAAGAATAGGGGTTGGAGAGTTGTAGTTAGTGTATCGCCTTTAAAATTGTATCTGGGGCTGAGCCCATTAGGGTCTATATCAGGAACACCACCACACTCTTATATAATCCCCTCTCCCTTGTCCTTGGGAGACATCTCTAATAGATCCTAGATCTCCCTCCCTCATCCTCACCAGCCCTTCTCTAGTCAGCACACGAATTCTATGTTTGTTTGATTGTTTAACTGTTTTAACAAACACTCATATCACACTTATTATGTGCAAGTTACTGTCCTAATTGACTCAGAAATGATAATACATTTAATCTTCCTAACAGTCTCGTGAGGTAGGTACTGTTGTTATCTCCATTTTACAGACTAAAAAAATGAAGCGCAGAGAGATGAAGGAGCTCAGCTAATAAGATCACACAGCCAGCAAGCCTACTGATGAAAGTCTGCAGCACACGTGAAGCTAAGCACCAGCCCTGGCCTGTGTGCAGATGTTTCCTTGGGTCAGAGATCCCACCGGGATTCGGCATTAGCACCTTGGCGGTAGAGACAGTGGTGGCCAGGAGAGAGCGGCAGAGAGCCTAAGGCAGTCTCAAGGCCTGCCCCAGAGACACACTGCAGTTGCTGAGGATCCTGCTACGGGAGTGTCTTCCCAAGAAATTCAACTAGTAAGCTTACTGCTGAGAAAATATTGAGTGGAATCATATGGGAGAATGCAGAACTAAGACCAAGCTTACGAACAAATAGGAACATACTAGATTGTGAGATCCTTAGGGCTGGAAGTGGCACTAATTCAACCAAATGCCCTCCAATAAACAAAGTATAGAAATGCATTAGCTCCAAAGGACATGCCTCCAATCACTCCCAATTCCCTCAGGGCTGCCAAGTGCCTTAATCCAGGGAGACAGCAAAGTTGAGAAAGGTTGGATTCACTGTCCCTCCTACTCCTAGGTTTCTATCACCCCATGACAGCACGTACTTCGTACCTATAGCCTAGAGTTTGTGGGAATTCGTGACTTTATTTTTGGATTGCCTTCTTTCTAACACCATGCTCTGACATTTTTTATGGCCTTAAAATTATTTCAGATTTGGAAAGACAGAAAAACGATCCAGAGTTCTGTAGCCTTGGCTAACCATGTGTTTACCTTTATTTAAAAACATGCTTTTATGTTGCCCTAGGGAATCATGGAATTCAGGTAAATGATTTGTAACAAGGATTATTTTTTCCTACAAGTAGGCATCAACATGAGACACATTTAGCAACAAGATGAGTCTACCGAACTACCAGATAAAACATAGGCTACTTTGTTCACAAAGAGGTAAGTTGTCCCCCATTATTTGTAACAACCTCTGATTTAGAAAGTATGTAAGAATTTGCACTATGATCCTTACTTCAAACACAATTGAAAAATGTTCACTGTATGAAATATGATCATTTTGTTTTATATAGTTTACTGGATCATTTGGCTTTTGCCCTAGTTATCCTTTTTTTGTGAGACGGAGTTTTGCTCTTGTCTCCCAGGCTATAGTGGTACAATCTCAGCTCACTACAACCTCCACCTCCTGGGTTCAAGTAATTCTCCTGCCTCAGCCTCCTGAGTAGCTGGAATTACAGGGGTGCACCACCACGCCTGACTAAATTTTTTATTTTTAGTAGACACAAGGTTTCTCCATGTTGGTCAGGCCGGTCTCGAACATCTGGCCTCAAGTGATCCAGCTGCCTTGACTTCCCAAAGTGCTGGGATTACAGGTGGGAGCCACCGCACTCAGCCTCTAGTTATTATTCTTAATGCCAAAGGATATTGCATAAATGTAACCATTATTAAATCTAAAACCAAAAAAAGATAATGAAAAGATCTTCATATGAAAATGTAAATAATCAAAATTACGTAAATATTCACATTCCATTGGTCCAATGCCAAATGCTTAATGTTAAGGTTATCTTAGGTCCAGAATCAGGGTTTGGGGAAAAGACATAAAATCTTGATCTTTAATCTTAACCCCATGTGAAAAGCCAACCCACAAGCTAATGTTATGGCTAAGAGATGGCCACTGAGCACTGAATAAAAGCAAGAAATACATTTAAAAGGAAAAGTGTTGATCCTGGAAGCTTGAAGTCAATCTTACACAAACATTGACTTACGTAGTTGGGACAGGGGTATTGTTTTGAAACAGAAAGATAGAACCACTAAGAGATGGAGCAATCCATCTATCTATCGATCAATCAATGGATCAATCGAAAGGGATTTGACTTTACACAACAGCGGGTGCCAGTGAAGCTGTCTCCACATGTCTTCTGTTGCATCTGATGCTGGAGCCTGAAGTCTGCAGGGCAGGAAATTGGGAAAGGAAGATGGCTAGAAATGTAAAGGGGGAGAGCAAGAACAAGCTGGTTTCCCAGGTGTAAGCTGGACACACAGTGGCACACTGAAACCCATGTCAGCTCTCAGTGCCTCTGACCATAGCGTGCTGAATGTCCTTCCAAAGAAGTTGGGCCCAGGAATCATGGAAGCTGGAGGAAGATCCAGGGAGGTGGAACCGTTGCAGGCCCAGCTGCTGCCCATGCACCAGGTGAGGCAGCAGATGGGCAGCAGTGTGTGCCAGCTACAAAATAGCTGCTTCACTTCTGCCCCACCAAGCTCACAGAACAATGTTTACTTTGGCTCATGTTTCTTTTTCAGGAAACGAAATTCAGGGAAATGTAGTTTAGCCTAGTCAGACTGACGTAGGACAGTCATAATCCTACCAATAGCCCATAGAAGCTCGTGTAGGGAATAGAGCAATGCCCCAGGGAATGTGCAATCCTAAACACACCCGAGGAGACAGGATCATTGAATTCGTTCATTTCAGGAATTAAAATTCCAAATTGAAGGTAATATCCCAGCTAAAGTGAACTGTTGCAGAAATATAGACTACCATAACATAATAAAATAAATCAACAGCCATATATTTTACTTTACAAAACAATAATTGCCTGCCACCTAGTATAAAGCATAAATCAGATTAAATTGATTATCCCGTGCCATGTTCACACTTTGCTTTTACTTTTATTCTGAGAGTGGAATAATGGCTGCCATTCTGATGATACAGATTCCTGAAGTAAATAATGGTTTCTGTCAGGAAACGAATAGTGAAGTCTATGGGTAGCTCATAAGTATTAAGGATTTAGTGTAACAGAATTTCAAAATTTAACTGCATCTTATTAGAACCTTGCTTTTTAACATTGGAGGCAGGGGAGGGGAGAATTATCTGTTCTCCATCTAGAGATAAAATATTTCCTACACCCCAGGAAACGTATATCTCTGTGGTTCTAGCGTCTAGAGCCTGGCCTTCCAGTGAACACCATTTTAAAGAAAAGTATGATGATTTGGGGAGGATTAGAGGAGAGTGTGGCCCTGAACAAAGGACCCTGCGGCCAAGATGGGCAGAAGTGGAGGCTGGGAGGGAGAGTGCTAACCAACAGTTAAGGGTCCCCTTCAAATAGAGGACAGACGAGCATTCTCATCAGTGACCCTCACAGGGTAAAGAGGAGAGACTCAGCCTGCTGCTGTGTGACCTTGGGCAAGTGTACAAAGCAGGCATGTTTGGGTTAGAGATTACAGAAACTTAATTCAAAGAATCATAAACTCTGACTGCAATAGCTAATTTGACTGGTAAGTTCAGAGTTGGCTTTGTACTTGTTTGGATCCAAAGATTTAAACAAGGCTGGGTACCATGGCTCACACCTGTAATCCCAACAGTTCGGAGGCCAAGGTGGATGGATCACCTGAGGTCAGGAGTCCAAGACCAGCCTGGCCAACATGGTAAAACCCCATCTCTACTAAAAATGCAAAAATTTGCTGGGTGTGGTGGTGCATGCCTGTAGTCTTAGCTTCTCAGGAGGT